AGGGCTCCTCTCCTCCAGGACCGGCGCCAAAGGGGCTCTTTTCCCTCCCGGGTGTTGCCTCGAGGGAAGAAACACAGCGGGGAGGCGAGGTGGAGGTGACCGAGCTGGCTTCTGCGGGTGCGAGCGAGGTAGGGGAGGCCCTGCGGGAAACCCAAGCGGGTGTCGAGGTTCTGTCATCTGGGAAAGACAAGATGGGTAAAAAAAAAAAAAGGTTTTGCCACAAAGCTGCCTTAAAAGGCAGTAGCATCTCATGATCAACTGTTATCATCACTGCATGCCACAGGTGTGATGGGTTTATTTACATTTACTTTACTACCCTCCATTTCATGCCATGAAGAGACATAAGGTCTGTTGTGAAACCCTTTGTCTTGGCTTGTCTTCACTACAGCTTGTACACTTTATGCAAACAAAAATTGCTTAATAAAAACCGAAACCCCACCATTGTTATTTCAGCCCCAAAACATCATTTGGAGCACCAGACTACTTCATCTGTAACTTCTGTAAGTCTTTGGATACTTCATTATCAAAAACATTAACTAGTTGTTTGTGTGACTCCTCTAAACCCCAGTATGTAAACAACAAGGGCTATCATTATTTGTCTTTCTGAAGTTTAGCTACAAGAACTATGATGGATGATTCTGGCAAACACCACAACACCTGAAAGTTTCTAGCAAACACAGCAGAAAAACAGAATCAGAACTGAGACTGCATTGACATTCTCTAGATGAACATTTGAGAGCTACAGCAGGACAATGTGGAAGGCACACATATAGCCACATGTTATTTGGTATAAAAAGCTAAATAATATGGAAAAGAAATGCCTTTGCCCCATATTCAAAGCATCCAGAATCCATGTTAATAGAAGTCATACGAGTTGCACTCAGCTCAGCATACTGAAAACATCTAACTTGGAAAATGAAACTATCCAGTTATTCATTGGCTTAGATTCAGGGCTGTATTCACTGTAAGAATACCAATTTAAATCTCAGAAAAATAAAGCTTTTGTAGCTATTGACTTAAAAATTCCTCTGCCTCTTTCTTGTTAACCTGGGGCATGTCCTTTCCTACAGCCATGGAAGATTGGAGGAGCTCACAGTAGCCTGCATGTGAAAGAAGAAAAGTATTCCAGGGTTCCAAAGGCCAGTATGAAAAAGCATCACCAGTACTTACACTTTTGGGGAAAGGAATCCAGTTCAAGGCCTCTATTGGCTATGGGTATCATATTGTAAGATTAAAAAAAAAGTGTCTCCATTTAGCCCATACAAGGAGCTAAACTATTGCAGTTATTTTAACACCCAATAATCCCTCCTTAATTGAGAGGGGCAAGCTGAAAAAAGAAAGGATCAAAAAGTTGAAGCAAGGACAGATTTAAGGAAATAGCAAAATAAATAGCATATACAAAATTACGCTCAGCCTAGAACACCTAGTCATCAAGAGCAGGAGGAACCCCAGCAGCAATACCCCAGCCAAAACTTCCCCAGGAACTCCCCTTCCTCAGCAAACCTTCCCCCTTTATAATGAGCCTGACACGATGGGATGGGCTACACCTGTAGCTACGTCACGTCAGCTGCCCTGGCTGGCTTGAAACTGCTCCCAGCCTGCCTGGCTGTCATCCTGTCCCAGCCAAACCAGGACAAAGGGTTTCTCTCCAATTACAGAGACTGAACTTGGTCAATGCCATTGAGATACCAAAGGGCTGTCAAACATACCCAGAGCACGGGTGCTAGATGGCTTAGGAAGGTATCTCACTTGTTTCTCACCACCTTCAGTCTCTCTGGCTATAAATTATAGCACCACACCAACACACGTCATCATAAGTTAACGGTGACGTTCTCTCTCTATATAAATAAAGATCTCTCAAAAAAACAAACCCCAAAGCAACCTATAGCCAAAAGAAATCGTTGTCATTTTGAAGTTAGTTGCTGGTGGTAAAAAACAGAATTACACAGCAGCGAGGCGGCTGGAATCTCTGATTAACAGAGATCCCATTGACGCTGGACACTGTCCCTAAGCGAGAAAGGCTAGTTCCCCATATTGTTTGCAATGATTAAAAAGAAAATAAAATTGAAGAACCACCTGCACCAACAAAGCGAGTTTTTGAAGTCTGCTGTGCATGTGTGGTCGTGGTTCGTGCCTTTCACCTAACGAAGCCAAGAGTGTTTATTTCGGCAGTGGAGGAGCTAATTGGTTGCCCAGTTAGCTCTCTGTTAGCTGTGCTGAACAGATGCCAGGACCTAGAGAAGGCACATGCTATGATGATGATGATGATGAGCAGTAGAAAGTGGGAGGAATGCAATAAATTAATGCCAACTCAGCTCTGTTTTTTTTTTCTCCTGGAAACGTGAGGTCAGCCTGAAAGGTGCATTACAGTGATTGCGTACAGGAAGTGAGGGTGAGGGTGAAGGAGAAATAAAAACAACCAGGAATGAATGACAGAAGGTGATGCGTTTCGATGTGACTCGAGAGAAATACGATAAAGGTTTCAGAAAATATTATTGGAATGTATGATGCTGTTTTCCAGGGAATTGGCATTTTGGCAGGGTATATACTGCTCCTGTCCCAAAGAGAAATGTTCCAGTAGTCAAACCTGGCAGGTGTTCATCAATTTCTTTGGAGCAATGGGAGACCATTTCTTCTGGACTGTGCAATATAGGCCGCCAAACTGAGGAGAGAAATGTCTAGGAATTGATTGGTGAAAACAGAATGTTTGTGTTTCTGTGGTTTCAGTTTCCGATTGCTTTCTCCTGCACGCGTCCTGTCGTGCTGCTCGCATCCAGAGCAAGACGATGTGAGCAAAAGACTCCTTCACTGGTGTGCAGTGGAAAGAGCAAGAGAATCTTGGATTAAATCTCAATGGGTAAATACACACGCATGCTTCAGCTTTGCTGGGAGAAGCCTATGTCGAAGGAAACGGGTTACCTCCATGCCTGGTGTTAAGTTGCACATGGTATGTGCAGAAACTGACGTGTTTTCAAAATAAAATGCACAGCAAGGGCGCCGATACAGGCATCCATTTTAAAGCAAATTATTCCACCTTTATCGTTGCCACTTTCCTAGCAACGTAAGCTGCCTTGCAACAGCACGCGGCTGCTCAGGCACAGAATATGCATTAAATGAATTCATACTGGTTTCATCTCGGCACTCGGCCCACCGCACATTTTCATGCCAAGACAAGATTGCTTAGTCATTTGTTCTTAATGTGTCTTAATGGCTTTAAGAAAGGAACCTCAAGGGAAAATGCTTTATAAGGCCTTCTTACTCATCATAACCAAGTAGATTTCCAGCATGTCTTGGGCGCTCTCTTAGACTGACTTTGTTAGGAAGGAGTCGAGCATCTCTTGTGCCATCAAGTCACAGATTTGTTTCCTGGCTATTCTTGCCTTCCTCATACCTTGGCCCACCATCAAACAGCAATCCTAGACTGCGGGCATGGGGATGTGGAGGTCTTTGAGGCAGAAGCAGAGGAGGAACTTTTAGGAACAGTGGGCCTCGAGGAAGAGGAGGCTGTTGTAATTGTGCGACAACCAGGTCATTGAAAAGGGGAACGACCAAAGGGCTTCCCAAAAGGATCTTCGGGTCCTGTGGTGCAGTCCTTCCCTTTTGTGCAGTCGCTGCTGAATACAAAATGTTTTCCTCATCTTCCAAGGAGGATCTGGTCTTAAAACCTTTTAAATAATGAATATAATGACCCCTGTCTAATAGATACAAGGGCAGCTTTTTTTTTACCTTAAATCAGTAGACCTGTTCATCCTGTCTCTAAATGCCTTTTTTTCGCATTTACTTGGAGAAGGATACCACTAACATAGACAAGGCTCCCTCAGGGCTTCGCTGGGTCTTCACTAGTTGTCCGAAATTTTAGTTAAAGATTTGCAGGATGTCATGTTAAAAAAACGGCTCTGTTTTGATACGGCATGTGGATGATTTATTAATAGCCAAGGAATCTCATGTAGCTGACACTCGTACCTACTGCATGCCTTAGCTGAGAAGACTATGAACCCCTCCACCGAAGTTACAATTTTTTTTTATGTGAAGTGTAAAATTCTCCGGCAAGAGGAGCAGCGTTACTGCCCGGGCAGGTTTGACATCAACCCGCCGCCCCGCCTCAGGGGGCTGCCCCACGACTACCGGTAACAAGCCGCAGCCCCCGCCCCCGGCACCACCCTCCGCCCT